ATGTAAAAATTATATTTAACAGTGTAAAATTGTTGTAAATCTCATAAAGATTTCAGGAAAAATCATTCATGGAATATTGCTTGAAAATACAAAAAAAATGAATAAATAACAGCACTGCGTATCTGTTTAAATAAATAATGGAATGAATAAAATCCAGACTAGCTATAATAACCGGAGGTTCATTAACAGTGGAATGGAACTGATATGATATGGCAAGGAATTGTCAATAGATGAACCTTATTGTTAGGTCAAATAAATCAAACTGAATGTTAAATGTAGTTCAATATTACCGACTCCACAGTCATAAAAATTCAACAAACATGGAAAAATCATACATATAAGATCAGTATATACTGAAGTCATGATAAAACTAGCTCAAATTTAAAGACAACTGGGTCAAGTAAAATAGTAATAAATAACCATTCAGTGAATTTAAACCCATGTAATAACAATAATACATGAATTCACCAGTGAGGAATAGATAACAAATATGTCGTAATAAAGCCTGAAAGTCTTGTTTGGTGAAGTAACACTCCATGTATTACTGCTCCCTGCTGTGAATAATAAAAATAATCAGTGTCGTATATTACATTTATTTTCTATTCTGAATGAAACTGAAACCCAAATTTTAATTTCAATGAAAACATATAACCCCCGAAAAACTTACACAAATACATGCAAGCTTCCTATTTTTCATACATCCCTTCTCCGTGCTTGGACTTTAATTCCATTCTTTGTTCTTAGCACAACCCCAATCTTAATGTTAACTTCATGATCTGGGTCCAAACTTAACTCGTATCTGTTGAAAAATTAAACTGTGAATGATAATATTTCACTTTTCAGAAAAGAATAAGATCAAAATCTATAACAAAAAATAAGGAAATTATTTACTGAATCAAAAAAAAAATATCCCTGAATAATCTGATTTCTGACCGATCAGTTTTCATGTTACAAACCTTTGTAAAATATGAACAAGAATGATTTTCATTTCATTCATTGCAAAGTGTTGGCCAATACAATTTCTGAAAAGAGAAGATAAAAGTAAATGTAGTACAAAAACATGTGATTTATATTTTTTTATATCAAAATTTTAAACAAAGTGAATTTAAAGAGATCAAAATTATCTCCAAATCAGAGCTGTGTAAAAAAAGTGCAGAATTGTTTGTAAAGAGAAACGGAAAAAAGAAGGTATAAATAAGCCTGTATACAGTTGACAATTTTTAAAAATAAATCTTGATTTTGTGAATGATCAATAGACAAGACAGTTCAAGTATATATGTCATCATCAAATGTTTTATCTATAGAGACTGAATGATCTGCATTTTCATGGTCTTACCTGGGACCTGCTGAAAAAGGTACAAAAGCAAAGCTGTCATTCTTTTCATTGTCGGGGGAGAACCTATTGGGGCGGAACTCGTACGGGTCTTCCCAGACTGCCTTGTTATGATGGAGGTTATAAATCTGAATTCCCATGGTGGTGCCTTCTGGAATGGGATGGCCGTCTAACACCGTCTCCTTGGTTGTGACCCGCTGTATAAAGGTCACTGGGGGGTAGAGCCGCATGCTCTCCTTTATACACTGAGTCAGATAACTAAGCTTAGATAGGTCGGCCCTAAAATTAGGAAACATATCACAGCATATATCAATTAAACAAAAAATCTTCACAGATTTCTATATTCTTTTTCATCTAAATCTATATTCGATTGAAATTAAATACTTTCAATATTGTTATTTAAAGGTCAAAATATGGCAAGGGGTTTGAGAATCATTTCTATAAACATTACAATTGCAGTGGATATTTATCCTCCAAAGACACTGATATTTCAATATGATATTAACAATTAACACAGATCCTAAGGAACTGAGATATTCAGTAAGACAACATAGAGGCAGGTCCCCTCACCATTCTAAATCCTTGTTGTCTCGGCCCTTCAGAAGATCGTCTATCTCTCTCTGACAGAGATCCTGGTGCTCAGGATGTTTGGCCAGTAAATACAAAGTCCAGCACATGCCACTCGTAGTTGTATCATGGCCTAAAAAAACAAAAAGTAGGTAGCATTAAACAAACAAAGTGACTACTTAATTGGTTCTCCAGGAAATGTAATATTGAAAATAAAATTTAAAGTACTGCTGTGACATCTCCTTGAATGTACTTAAAGCATTAAGATGGATAGATTGTGCAATGAATTCCACAAGTGAAAAAAGGATTTCCCAGATTATTTTTCTTTGAGGCATTTGATAATCAAATATCAATATGTGGCATGTAGAAAATGGTTGCAGTTAAAAGGGAAGCAACTCCTGCTACACACTTGAGGTTTCTCCACCCCACGAGAGTGATAAAAATGTAAAAGGATAGTGCTCCTTCAATACATATGCTGTTACATGTATCAAAATAAGTATAAATCTGACTTGATGATAAATCCATGTATTTTTAACAAGTAGAAAAAGTAGAAATTCATCAATTAAATTTACAATTGATAATACAGTGAAACCTGTCTAATCTGACAAATTTTGTGACAGTGAGAATAGACAGGGTGTCAGTTTACACAGTGTTAAAAATGGTAAAATTGGAAAGATATTTAACGTCGGAATTCACAATGTGTCAGATTATTCAGGACTCTGATTGGTCAGCTTTCACTGTAATTATAAACATAACAATTTCACTTTAACTGAATGGAACATTGTTTATAATTTGTACCTTCAAACAGGAATGTATCCACCTCATTCCTGATTTCTAGTGAGGTCAGGCCTTTGTCATTTTCATCTCTTGCTGTCAATAAAATGTCCAGAAAGTCTAGGTGGCGAGTTTTTGGATTTGGTCCATCTTCTTTCTACAAATCCATTCACAAGTCAAAACATTATCAATAACGAGAGTAGCACATCTTTTATGTGCATATCTTATTGTATAATGAAAGTAAAATGTGTCTAGAAAAAAATAGCTATGTCTTTTCTTTTATACACTAGAAATAATTCCTTTCCTAATAATGCATGCATAAATTGGTTCCCCCATTACATACAAGAGATGCCAAAGACAACTCACTAAACTTTTTCTTCTCTTCTCAATAATGTCCTCTGCCACTTTATGCACATAATCACAGTTCTTTCTGAACTCTTGTCCACTGGGTGACAAACTGAACAAAAAGTCAGAGTAAAACCAAGGCTTTCTGTAATAGATAAAAAATTCTTCACATCAGCTTCTTCTGTATTTTACAATATAATTGGAAAATGTACAGTTAATAAAAATCAAACCTCAAGCATATTGCACAAGATAAGATCATGTTAAAAATAATAATTAATAATTTTCTATACACATGCATCTATATATTATATGCAAAATTAATACTAAATGTTGATATTTGCATAATTGTGTTTGATTAGTCAGAATTGGATTATATCTATATATGAAAAATATATGTATATCAAAATTAGAGCAATAACAAATGATGCATAAACTTTCTGTACTGTAATACACATTTAAAACATAATGCAAAAGATGGACAATTTTGCTTTGTTAGAAGAGTATTTCATTATATTTGTTAATTCAACAAATGAATATACTTTAAAGTTACAGGTAATAAAAATTACTTTGCTGTAAGCATTAATTCATTAATTAAGTGTGTTGGTTATGAACATGTTTTACTGTATGTAGCTTGTTTTACTGTATGTAGATAACTTACAAAGACCTTGCCACCCAGATATCAGACAGCACGTTAACAGCGTGGACATAAGGATGTGTGTCCCTGAAACCCAGCAGAGAGAACACTCAATAAATTATGATGACTTTTTGTATTAGAATCAAATGTCTATTTTCTGTAGTAAACACGCAAGAATCAGCTCAAATTATTTCGATAACCAAACATTTATTTACTTATTTTTAAATTATATTTGGCAAAAACAGTGAAGGCTGCTTGATATATTGTTGACAGTTATTCCTTTTCAGGAATATGCACATTACCCATGTTGACAAATAAATGTACTCTTGAAGGAAAATGCATATTACCCTAATTGTTGACAGTTACTCTCAAAGGAAAATGCACACTGGAGTATTATATCTAGAGAGGCCAGGCCAATAAAAGAAAACAACTCAAAACTCTTCCCTGTCTCCACTTCTTTATCTATCTTGTCCTGAAAATTTTCATAAACACCAACTAGCTCCCACAGATACTAAGTTAAAAGTCAACACAGAATGGAACAATATGCATAGAATACACAAATTAACTACTAACAATTAACCTCCATGCTAAACTGATTTATATATGTTAGAAATGTTCTGATATTTGGTAAACAGATACTGCATCGATATATATCTAATATTCAACAAACACCCTAAATTCATTCAGTAGCTTATGAAATGAACATATTTACCACCAGAGCGGAAGCAGCTTTGTTTTTGAGGGCTATGTAAGACTGTAGAATCTCAAAATGGAATGCTGGGGTCAGGAGCCTGCGATTCCGCGCCCACTTCTGTCCATTAGCTATAAGTAAACCCTCTCCCAGCCAATCCAGACCCAAGATATATACTGTACCTAGCTGGCGAGGTTTTGGCTCTATGTACAAAAAAGGTTGAGGTAAGAATACACTTTGGTTAACTCGAGATAAATCCCCATAATTTCATATTAGAACATCACTAAGATCTACAGAAATGCTTTACATGTACCTGTAGATTTTAGAAGTACTTTTACTGTTTCTGGATGATGAAGAATTAACACTGGTCTGAAGCTAATCCACAGTAAGTGAAACATTGGGTATCTGTCACAGCGCTCCATCTGGAATTTCAGTCCCTCCTCATTAGGCCCGGGATACTAGAGAACATCAAGTACAACCATTAAGCCTGCCATTAAATCTTCATTCTAATGCAATTGTTTTGTAAAACACTTTTTCATTGGCTAATGCACTGATGTTTGAAGCAGTAAAACGAGCATTAACGAGCGTGAAAGCTTTTTCATTGTGACGTCATAATAGAGCGACGCAAAAACACAATGCTCCGTGACGTATTTCATGTAACAAAATTCATCAAAATAAGACGTAAACAACAAACAAAATGCATGGATTGCATTAGAATGGGAATAACTGATCTTCTAATTTGGTATTTGCGACCGTTAATGCTGATTTAACGGTCGCAAACATCTGTTTTACCGGCTCCGCTTACGCGTCGCCGGTAAAACTCAGTTTGCGACCGTTAAATCAGCATTAACGGTCGCAAATACCAAATTAGGAGATAGTTATTCCCTAATTTAAATTATCTAAATGATTAGGCCCTGATACTACAGAACAAGAGGAACGTCCATAATGCCTGGCATTAAATCTTCATCCTAATAACTAAAGACTATTATGTTATGACTGATCTTACCATCAGCAGGTGCCCTAGGAGTCTGCTGGGGTAGGGATCCCCAGGGAGATCAATGTAGAAGTGGGCCCAAGTACGATAGTCCATATAGGCCAAGGTCACTCTGAAGATGATGTAAAACAGGACGGCCATGAATCCAAAACTGATCCATGACCACCAGGAGGACAGGAGAGACAGACCCAGGACTGCCATTATTTACACTGCTGACCAACTGACCTAAAAATAAAGTGATATAAATCAACTCGTCTCCACTTCTCCTTATCAGAATTTACGGTTCTGTTTAAGACACTACAATTACGTACGCATATTTCAAACTTTGGCAGCTATGTCAACCAAAGTAAAGTAGTACCTGGTATATGAAAATTAAAAACATACCTTTTCATTTGTATATAAATTAGTAGTTAATTGGGTAACTGTAATCTTTTAAACAAATGAAATCAGTCTGTTAGCTCATATGATAAATGCTTTTTGAATGTCTGTCATGGACATCTCTACACAAATAGCTTTCACATTTCTGCAAATATATATATATTTTTTTCATGTGGTAAACACATGGAAATTAGAATGACCCCTATAATTTCATCTAAAACTATAAATTAATTTGAATATATAGATCATGTACAGATACCTTCTTGTTTATTTGACTCACTGAAAGAATTTAGATCCTTCCATTAACTCATGCATTCACTGAACTAGAACTGACTTCAAATGCTTACTTTCTTCATAGTACAACAAAATTGTACAACTGCATCATTATCTTAATGTATGGACAGTGTACACTATACATACATACATTAACAAACTGCAGTGTCAGAAATATGCTTAAAACCTATACTGAGATCAATACAGTTAGTTTTCCAGATAACTGATTCCTTCTCTCTGACTAAGTGTTCTTGGCTTCTGTACAAAATTTAAGAGCCCTGCCTTGTGTAATTTGATGTACAAGATGCAATTATAAGTATTTTACAATAGTTCCCAGTAAGAAGTGATACATTTTATTTCAAGTACTTGACACAGGAAACCTTGTGTACTTTAAGATATATCTACAAAATCTTATTTCCCTTCCTTAATGAATATATGTAAATCTGTTTTACAGAGGCATTATCATTAGACTTTGCAGCTTGATTTTTATACACCACGGTTTGGGGAAAAACACACAACTTGTTAGATAAAAATCATACTCAACTACAAATCATGGAAGATCCTTTATAATTTCTTTTCATTTGTGTGAGAAATATTTATACTGTTTTGGGTTAAATCAAACTGAATTGAAAAAAAAAGAACCGTATAATTCTGAATCAAAACTGCACAGAATTGACTGTACCCTTAATTGTCCCATGCAGCCCTAGAATGTTCGACACCAAATATTTTTGTAAGTGCCATTGTGACATGACCTGGTGAGTTTTCCTTTGAAGTCAAGCATACTGTAACTGCGATACAGAACACTTTTTGTGGGCGTTTCTTACCCAAATGAGCAGAAACTATACTGTATCTGCAAAATATCAACAATACAGTACGGTTTATTTTTAGGGATGACGGAAAGCTGTAACCGAATACAGACACAACAATCACTCAATTAGCTTGATAGCAATGTTAGTATTTAGACTATTTACTCAAAATTTGAGATGATAGAAATTTGCAATGTAAAGTTACAAGTGGCAGATTTAAAAAATTTAACAAGAGTCCCATAGATCACTTCCCTCACCTGAGAACCGTGGCTAATAAATATGCAAAAATCAATCCAGTATTGAAAAGCTAAAATTCATAAGTGGTCCCTACCTACATGTACCTATTAAAGAGGGGAGGGGTGATTTGAATTAACTTTGATGGTCCATTATGGCTCTGCCCTACCCCTTGGGATCATGATTTTAACAAACTTGAATCTTTTATACCTGAGGATGCTTTCATATAAATTATAAATATGAGATATTGTATAGCTAACTGTTGATCTTCATCAGAAGATTTTTAAAGATTTTTCCTATATACTGTATACAGGGAAATTTTCACCCCTTTCGCCCTCTTCTTGATTGGGTGAATTTAAAATGGGGCGAATTCAAATTACACAGTAGAATTTCTTAAGCAGAACTATGACAGGGTGAATTTAAAATGGGGCAAAATTGTTTGCAAGTGCAAAAGGGCTAAATTAACACAGAGCAAAAATAACCCTGTATATAGTATTTCTATGTTAAACTTTGATCCCAATATGTGGCCCCATCCTACCCCTGGGGGTCATGATTTGAAAGAACTTGAATCTACACTACCTGTGGATGCTTTCATATAAATATGATCAATTATTGCTTTGTTGTTCTTGAGAAAAATTTTTTAAAGATTTTTCCTATGTTTTCCTAAATAAAACTTTGACACATTGTAGTCCATTGTGGCCCCACCCTACCCCTGTCCCCTGGGGGTCATGATAGGAATGATTTTTAATATACACTACCTGAAGATTCTTCCATATAGATATAACCAATCATGGCTTTGCTGTTTTTGAGAAGAATATTTTTAAAAAGATTTTTCGAATATATTCCTATAAAAAACTTTGATCATCCATTGTGGCTCTCCCCTCACACCGTGGGTTGTGATTTGAAAAAATCTGAATCTACACTACCTGAGGATGCATCAGTTTCCACATAAGTTTTATCTTTCCTGACCCAGTGGTTCTTGAGAAGAAGTTTTTTAAAACAATATGTCACAAAATTTTCACTATTTCTTAATTATCACCCCTTAAAAGAGGGTGTGGCCCTTCACTTGAACAAACTTGAAAGCGAATGATAATCCATTGTTTGTCTACAATAGAAGCTATTTTGCCTCAAAGCATGATGGAGTAAATAATGTAGCGGACAGTATATAGGGAACTTATACTGCCTCGCTAGTGAGCTAGCTTTTCTGGTGATGCGGTAAAGTCTCCCTCTATTTCAGGCAAGTTAAGCAACAGCGAGCCTGTTTAACCCTTGGATGGGTGACCGCTTCACGTTACAAAAATTTGGTGGCAGCGGTGGGAACTGGGGTTGCATTCAATCATAAAAGTTTTTTAATATAGTGGTTAAAAAAAAAAAAGAAAAAAAAAATATTCTTCGTACATTTTGCATATAACTTTGAAGGTGTTATCTTTTTGTAAAGCCCTTATTCAGAGTTCTGAGATTGTACATGCGGGGCGCATGTCATCGGAGGCATGGGTAGTGTAATGATTTCGGAATTTTTAGGTTTGACCATGCGGAGTTCTCGATTAGTTTCTGTTCATGTCACGTGACGATTATTGCAGGGTTCGCCATTCGCGCTCGTCACCTCGTCATTTCCATCCAGAAATGATTTTGGACGACTTGATTTTCATTCTGGCTCGCCCAAATGACGACCTGGGACAAGTTAGGAATATTTAATAGTGATTTTTAATATTATAAAATAAACTTCATTAGGCCTTGAAAACATATTTTCCTGTAACAAAACCAACCCATTCAACATGTTCAACATGTTCAAATTGCAGCCGCGTAGATTTTTCTTCCTGACAAATCTGCGTTCGATCAATCAGCTGATGCAATTTTTACCAAAAGTCTTTAATAAAGTTTTATTTGAGAAATAAAATATGTCAACTTAGTCAATGATCACCTTAAATATAAAAAGTAAAAATCATCATTGTAACATCCTGCATTTCTCCTACAATTTTCTGATCAGCGTTTTCTGCTGCTAGACAGCTATGTTAGGTCTCCACTGTAATATAACACCTGGTTAATTCAGTCCAGGGCTATTTGACCCTATTTATTTAGGCTTTCATGGTAAATGAAAATGAATGTTTTAAACTACAAACTAAAGCATTCTGCATGTCTGATTCTGCCTCTGCTTATATTTTTGTACTAGAAGACATCTTTACATTCAAAAAATGTCTGGTTTACATTTTTTGATACAAATCCACAACTTCTGTGAATTATCTTAACAAATTTTAAACAATTGCACATTAAGTTTTGTTTCATTTGATATTTTATATGGGCGACCTGAAATTCATTCGGGCAACCTGTGATCATACCAAGGTTGCCCAAATGGCGAGACCAAATTTTGACGAGTGTCGGACCCTGTTATTGTGTATAAATACTGAGACTCCGCAGTGATCAACTGGGGGAGATCGTCGGATGCAGCCAAGGATAGAAGACGGGTGGCGTGAAATAAGAATTCGCGTGTTATATCCCTCGCCTGTTTTACAGTTAGAGAGTGGATTTGAGAGGCCAACCCAGTTAAGGCCTGCCACAAACTTGGTTGACCTCCCAAGTCCCAACATAGAGGCTAGCCATAGTTTGTTGTGTCTCGTCTGCATTGGCTGACCAGTCCGTCCAGGCTGCTATACTCATTGTCCGTCCTGAATAAGGCATCTTACAATGGGTGTAGTGGTTGAAGGGCTATCACATATACTGTCTGTCCTGAATAAGGCATCCTACAGTATATGCGGTAGTCCGAGGGCGACTGGGCATCCGAGTTATTTAAATGATATGTTAGGACTCCCCATCTGATTTTGTTGCTTGCCTCCGATTATTTTAGTGATTCATATGTTAATTTTATAATTTACTTAGATAAGGTTAAGACATATTTGTATATTTCGGCAGTCCACTAAGATCATACCAATTATTTTAAATCAGTTTATGTTGAACACCCCAAACCCTGGAAATGACCAGGTACGATCCCTTTTGATTCATTGTAAATATGTTACAAAATTGGTGGCAGCGTAGTGACTCTGGGTGTCTGGTGTCCTGCTTCAGGAAGTCTTAGAGCTAGGACTTAGTGTCAATATACAGACTTCGTGTATGTGGACGGCAGTGGTTGCCGTATCTGAAGTCAGGTTCCGACCTACTTCAGGAAGCTCTAAGACTAGGACTCCGTGTCCAGGTACGGACTTCGTGTCCGGAACGGCATTGGTTGCCATAACTGAAGAGGCCCAGACACTCAGAGAGAACTCATGCTAAGCTTCGGGTCGAAGCTTCCCTGAGCGGGGGGAAGTGTAGCGGACAGTACATATGGAACTTATACTGCCTCGCTTGTGAGCTAGCTTTTCTGGTGATGCGGTAGAGTCTCGATCCCTCTACTTCAGGCAAGTTAAGCAACGGCGAGCCTGTTTAACCCTTGGATGGTTGACCGCTTCACGTTACAATAACCTTTTTTCTTGAAATTCACACCATTTTGGATCATGTTCGTGCTTACTGAATTAGACTGTTTTTTCAATATGCGTGAATGTGGGTATACTACTAATGAGAGTACGCTAGAGTACTTAATTAAGAGTACGCTAGAAAAATTGTGTAATTTAATGCAATTAGATTGTTTATTTATGTATATACATGTAGATTAAACATTATTGTAAACTTATATTGCAATTATTTGTTTCAAATATTTGTTTTATATAGCGATATTTTGACAAGACAATAACATTCAAAATTCAATGCATTAAACTTTTAGATTAATAACACCCCGGCCAATCCCGATTACTATTTTGTTTCAGACTTACTAGTAAATTCAACTAAAGTTTATCAAAAATTAAATAAATTGCACATTTGTAAATATTTTTCACATCAACAATGAAATATTTCAACACGTTCAAGTTAATTTAAAATTAGATCGGTGAAATGATCAACCATAACCTGAAATCCAAACTTGAAATAACTCCTTAAATAAGGAAAACATACAAATTTTATTTAAAATATATATTATATAAAATTATAAAATTTTACTAGCGTACACTAAAGTACTCTATCGTACTAGCGTAATCTGTTTTAATTAGTAGGACCGCGTGAATGTTATTATGATTATTTAACCACATGATTCCATTATCATGATTATCTGATTATGTCTTTTATGAAACCACCTTCTTGGGTGCTCCTAATACATAGGAGGGAATTCCATAACTGAACTGAACATGCACATTACATGCATGCAGTTTTAATCTGTAGAGTTCTATATTAAAATTATACATGTAGATCGACTGATAAACATTTGATACGTAGTGCATGTCACCAGTCATTAAACACTGCACTGTAGAAAAAATAACGTTATTTATGTCTCTAATGTCACTTTACATTAGAGTATACTTAATACGGTTGTTCGCATAAAAATTCAACCAAAAAATTACCATCATAAACTCACTGTCAACCTAAAAAACTTTGACCAATCCAATGGTCAAAATCCACTGCAAACTCGAGGCAGTCAGCTCATCACCGGAAGTACATAACCCTAGAGGTGTTGCTAAAACACGAAAGCACTCCGTGTTAAACGAATCACATACAAATAATCTTCGTCATGTTCAGGGACCCGTTTTATAAAAGAAAACCAATCTAAGATCAACACTTAATTCTGCTTATAACTTTCTAATTAACTTTATATTGAAAATGGTTTGATTCTATTCTTGAAAATAATATTCGATTTAACTGGATGAAAATGTTACCAAATAGGAGTTACAGTACCGACCAGACCCAACCTGACACAAAGCAGTCCCAGAGCAGTCCCGGGGACTGCTTTCTGGGACTGCTAAAGCAGTCCCACAGCGGTCCCAGAGCGGTCCCAGCAGTCCCAGAGAGCAGTCCCAGCAGTCCCAGAAAGCAGTCCCAGCAGTCCCAGTGGGCGGGGTTTATTAATTAATGGGCGGAGCTAACTCAGAAATGAGATTTCCAATAAACAATGGAACTATGAAAAGCAGTAGAAATTGATTCTGGGTAGTATGCCAGGAATCCTTACATGTACGCGAAGGTCATTTATGAACAGAACATGTATGCGCCTAAAAATTGAAATAATTATAATATTTATTGGAGGAAGAAGGCTTTCACACTTACATGTACATATATGAATTACACTGAACATGAATATTTAATCACAATTCTTGGGTATATTAATAATTCCTCTGTGATTGATACTGGTTCCCATATTTATTTTTATACAGAAAATTAAACGTGAATTAATTATTTTCCACCAGAAGAAGCTTTAATAGATCTTATCATTATATGACCAATTTAGACTATTGGGATACTCTAAAGTTAGAGTTTTCTTAGTTATTGGGGCTTTTAAAAAATTTTTTTGTTAATTTTGCCAAGTATTATTTTTCAGGCATGATTATTTTTACTCACATGACAATTTAATTATCGTTAATGCCTAGTTCTATAAAACTCAGTTTTAAGTGTTTTATTTGTAAATGTTAGAGTGTACATCTGTAAATCACCAGAATGGAAACTTCAGATTATGTTCAAAATTAATTAATCCCAAAAGAAATTTATACACATTTCATTTATCACATTTTTTCGCATTAAATAAATTGAAATTAGGGTCATTGTTTACCAGCATGTTCAATGATGTGTAACACTGATATAAATACCCAAATAACATAGATTTTTCTGCCCAAAGGCGATTGAAACAATGGGTGTTGATTCCATCTTATAAACATTAATCGGCCAGGTAAACACAAGCAAAACAGATAAGAAATAAATCACAATTCCCGGTATTTTCATTTTTTAAAAAAATAAATATACCCTTTTAATGACTTGTTTATTCTTTTAAAGCTAGCGGTAATTAATTAATTCCCCAATGATTATTCACATAGTTTATGTTACCGGAAAATTGGTAGCATAATTTTATTTCATGGTCATTTAATAAATTGTTGGGTTTTATTTGAGGGTTACATGGAATACTCTTTTTTTAGCGTGATCCTTATAAAATGTGTAGCATTTTCATTTTTCATTGTAATGATTATTTTTAAATAGTACATGTACCAATGCAAATTTTGAGTACAAATTAAAATTCAAATTAGGTAATTAAAAAAGGCCCACATATACACTGTAGATATTTTTTTCTCATAAACTTGTAGTTTATTTTTAGGGATAAAAATTTTCTCATGAATTCCTTATTTATCAACCTAATTTTTTTTAAAATAAATACACATAAATTTGTGTCAGTATACAGTCCCTGAAAATATAAATTAACTCTAATAATCTCTACTTATTAAAAGAATGTAAGAAATCCTTGCTTATTAAACAGTTTAAACTCCTCTCTGCTGCAAGTAAACAAAACAATAGGGAGCCTGCAAATTCAGAATACACAAGGGGGCGGAGCTATCATGTCACTCAGAACCTTTTTCACACATGAGTGAACAAAGCAGTCCCAGAAAGCAGTCCCAGGGGCAGCTGGGACTGCTGGGACTGCTTTTCATAGCAGTCCCAGAGCATTCCCATAGCTGTCCCAGAGCAGTCCCACAGCGGTCCCAGAACAGTCCCACAGCGGTCCCAGAGCAGTCCCACAGCGGTCCCAGAGCAGTCCCACAGCAGTCCCAGAGCGGTCCCAAAGCAGTCCCGGGGTCTGCTTTCTGGGACTGCTTTGGTGTCAGGTTGGGTCTGGTCGGTACTGTATCTCTCTTTTCATAATTCAAGAGGGCTGTACAACTGTAAGGAGGAGGGACTGACCCTTTTTTTCTGAGTACATGTGATGTCACAGGCACTTGTTTCGTATACGGGATACCCCCTACTAAGTATTTACTGGCAAAAAGTGATATCACCTATTTGAATAGGTGATAGGGAAGGTATAATGCCCTGATAGTATAATGCCCTGATTGACCTGATTACACATATATACTGAAATAAATAGTTTTTATGTGCACAAACAATATTATTTTTATTGAAAATTATGAATATTGTCATGTTCTATTAAAATCATGAAGAAAATGCAAAATAACATTATTTTTATTAAGTTTTATTTGATAGATAAAATTGACAGGGGTATAATGTCCCGATTTTAGGGTGTAATGACCTGATGACCTGATAATATTAAAACCTACAATAAAAGCAATTTTTCATTATAATTATTTGTTTCATTTTTCAAATCTGATGTATTTTTAATGGGATAAATAAAAAGTTTACAAAAAGTTTTTCTGAAAAATATCGATTTTCAATTGCTCCGATGCACTTTTAAGTTAACAAGGGGTATAATGTCCTGATTTTGAATGCCCTGATTTTCACTAATGACCTCATTTAAATACTTAAGCCTATACTCAATCATTGAAATTAATGAAAATATGAAGAACTTCCTTATACTTTTCTGTTCTTTTTTAATTTATTTCTTTTATTTCTTAATTCTGTTAGTATTTTTAAGTTGATACACTATGTATAACACACATGCATTTTATTATAGAATCTTACCTATGCATTTTATTATATTGTGCTATAGGTGGTTGGACACATGCAATCAAAAAATCATTTTAGTTTCCTCAATATTAAAAATAAAATTATTCGTTATATGCTTTTTGATGAACAAAGTCGATCAAATTTAATACTGTGGTAGCCAAACTTTATTTTAATTCACAAATGTAGGGAAAATGAAAATATTTTACATTTATCCCAAGGAAAATAAATGTTTTAAAACTTAGAGAAAGAAAATATTATGTTTTGCTTAATCTTATTTATTAATTGTTTTTAAAGTTACAAGCACTCACTCTACGAAATTCAATTATATCGTGAATAACAAATTCAGTTTTTTTGGTCAGACTTAATAAATATTTCTTTTAATATTTATATAAAATGTTGAATGAATAAAGTATCTTGGGGATACAATGTTAAGTATCATATTTCTTTAAAAAAAAAAAATGAACATGTATACGTCAACATTTATCCTCAATTCTATGGCAGCAGACAGTACAGCAAAATAAACTGATCATAAATTTGAACCCCCCCCCCCCACCCCATAAGAAAGAAAATTGATCATGCATTGATTGGTTATTATGTCTGATAGTGTCAAAGGGGCATGGAGGCCATACATATCCTGTTTACTACCCCCCATTTATGGCTTCTGTAATTATCACACGTGTATTCCCAGTCAACCATGCTCTGCTGACCGCATATTTCATAAACACATTTACCTTATAGATTCATTTTGTAATTTTCCAATTTAACCATTACACATTTATACATTAAAGACAAAATTATTTAAAA